AAAGAAACCTCAATACTTATTGGATAGGGTACATTCACCCTATCCTGTGCTACCTTATGCTATCATGTGACAGGGTCAGCCTATGCAACTGGTACCGTGCCCTGTTGACAACAAGAAATTGCAGTCACCAGCATTGGGAGGAACAAATACGCTGGAGTGAGTGGTTGGAATCAATGCGCATTTTGATGACGCAGATGCACAATCTGAGCAATGTGTTCCATCATACTTCATGCGGAGACCCACGCATTCGTATCATTGATATACCACTCTGTTTGAGTTTTACTCATGAGAGGGAGTGTTTACAGATGCTGAACAAACTGCATGCAAACAGGCCAAGCGTGACACTGCAAAGCCATGGCGACATGCTAGGAAAGGAACATCTTGCACCAAGTGGTGCCTTTCTTGCAATGGACGCTTTTGAATTCGCTGCAATGCATTCACTTTCACTGATCACACAAACCATACCACAGGAACAGAGCGGCAAACCAGTGGCCTTATTTATCACGCCGCTGTACACGGCTCAGATACGGGCTCCGCTTCCCAGACCTTTGAGACGCGAATGGGAATACCGCGCTGCCTTGATGCCATGGTGAAACATGGAATACAGGACGTTGCCTTCAAGCTTTGAACTCAAATCTCTCCAACCCACCTCCACAATGCGACCTGAGTCCTCCGTGCCCTCCTCGTCCGTTATGTTGCACAGACCGAGGGCAACCACATGGCTTGGGTAAAGCCGAGAGGTGTTGTCCACGCAATGTGCCGCAGTCATCACCCACTCCTTGTCAATTAGCACACCCTCGCACAGGTGGTTGCCCGTAGGTGTCTGCAGAGAAGCTATGTAGGGAAAGCGGCCACATGGTGCGTCCTCTCCGCCCTGCACATCAGACAGCCAATGATTGCATTAAGAAACAAGCGGCTTCTTTCAGTTCAAGCAGTAAAGGGAAGAAAACACTTGTGTGGCTGTTCTGTAGAGGAGCACGCGGTCGGCCTGCCCATTTAAAGACCCCAAGCCAATCGCAGATTGCTGTGTGGTGGTACCCGCAAAGTGGCTCATCAGCCATAATGTTATTGATCAATGGCTTTACGATCCTAGTGATAAGGGTTGGTTGGCAGATATTTAGCATGCATTCGGGCATTAGATTTGGGCAGCTCAATGGCCCTGTGCCCCACAAGGAGCACGCAGAGGAGGCAGAGGAAGAACGCATTGCATTGGGGGGCCAAGGGCCCTGCACGCCCCATGTGACCACATTGATTATAATGTGTGGTTCAGAGGGTGGGAGATCCTACGTGGATATGGGATTTGTTAAATCGACTTAAATCTTAAATATTTAGGTTTGCAGCCGCCATTCCCTTTCTCATGCCAACTGCAGCCCCTTCAGCTTCGGAGTTGTGATTTCACGTGAGCAGATTGCAGAATGGATTGCAGAGACTCAAACCCGATGGTTGAACAAAATTCACCCTTTACCGTAACTCCAATCACTTAATGACTCCATCTGCCCAAATGCCACAACACACGCCAGCACACCAGCCAACGCGGAGATGCAGCGTTGCATATTGCCCACAGTGACTCTGCATCACAGTTGTGCAAACAAGGCACACTCAAAGGCAGAATTTCGCCCGATGGACCACACCAAACAAACCTCCCCCGCGCACACCTACCGCAAGGACGGGCTTGGCACCCCGGGCTTGCCGCAGTAGTCTCTCGGCCGCCGCCCCTGCAGGAAGATGGTTCTTCAGGCTGATCAGTTAACAAACATCTCACTGGTGCGACAACGTCCTCAATGCACCATGGATGATCGGACTGCAGAACTCAAGCCATAGGGAGGGGTGGGGGAGAGCGTGAGGTGCTTGCGCCGTCCTTTGCCATGGCATAGGGCAAAAATAGCTGAGCCCGAATACCGCATGTGGACGTGGACGTGGACGTCGCCGTAGAGATTGCCGGATACGCCTGGTCAATGACCGCCGCCGCGCTGGCTCTTCGCGGGAGCTTGCGTCACGCGCGGCTCCGAATCCGGTGCCTTTGGCATGCCGCAGGAGGGCCCCGCACGCGGAGGCGGAAACTCCGGGGACCGCTCCCCCGGCTCAATCCCCTCTCACGGCGCCCACGGCGCGCAGAGAGAGGCAGCTAGCATGCAGGCCCGAACAACAGGGCGCGGGCACTGGACCCCGGCAACGTTCACCTTTGCAGGGCCACGGCGGCGGAACGAGCGCCAGGAAAAAGTGTGCCAGGAGGGCCTGCAGCGCGGCGGCGCGGCGCCCGCCCATGGCGGAAGCGCGGCGCCGAAGGGCGGCGGCCGTTGCGCGACCCGCGCCTGCGCACATCCCTGGAGAGGAGGGTGAGGGGATGGGCGACGGAGAAGCTGCGGCGTCTCCTTATCGTGACGCCGCATTGTTCCCGACATGGCGCGTTTGCAGCGCTCGCGCGCTTGGCGTGTAATACCCTCATTGGCGATGTGACAGGTCGGGTCAGTCGCTGGGGGCGGTGCTTTGTGTGTCCCAGCTGGAGATCTGTTCCAGATTTACGTTGCCGATTTCATATGACCGGTTCGAAACGCCAGAACGGTCCGCAATTTGGGCGCTTTCCAGGCACTAAGAGGCAAAGGACCAAACAACACTTTTGCGAACACCCGCAAACACACATTTCAACAAAATTCTGCACATTAAGAACAAAAAAAACACAAACCCGTAAACTTTGTACACGTTTGAACACGTGTTATTGGGGCCCTTTTTTCCTAGCGAGGGAGAGAATAGTCCAAGGGGCCAAGCCGATATCGGGCAAGTGAGATTGACGGCTTCCAACCTTTGGACTCGAGTTCACCATAGAAACAATCGGTGCGACAGCATGGCGAGTGGCAATCGCCATTATGTTGGCTGCAACCTTAGTTGTCAAACCGTTTGTGGCAGTGCTTTAAGCAATTGCAGCGGATGGTGCGAATGGCATCTTGCCGCATTGCCACATTGCTGCGCCCTGCGCTTTGCTGTGCGCCTGCGGTATTTGTGACATGAATTCACCGGTTGCAGATTTCTCTGGCTTGAACTTGAAGCCCCACTCCCTATTGCAAGGCTCCCCGCGTACCGCGATCTTTGGCGGCATTGTTTCCCGTTCCTTGTGCCGCACCTTACAAGAGGCAGCAACACGACGATCTGTCAACCAGGGATAAGGGATTGCAGATGAAGAAATGCTACGAGCATACTAGGGACTTGGGGGACAAGTTTGCCTATCTGTCGCCACCCCACCTCCAGTGGATGGCAGCACTTCATCGGAATTGCTGCTCGTCGGTCGCACATCATGAAGTGCCATTGATCACTCCTTGTTTGATGGGAGATAAGCGCGCCGGACGTGGTTCCGCTGGCGAAACCACAGACCGTCGCACCCATCTGAATATGCTGTCAAGCGGTATGCCTCACAGGAGGAGCAAACGACTCGCTGGAGGCTGTCGCTCGCAAGTCGCTGTGTCCACCTAACGTTTGCCCAGAGCACATTAATTCGGGCAAGGTGCCCTGCAAAAGTTTGAAAGAACAACCTCAACTCCATGTTTGGCGAGGCTCAAAGAAGACATGTCTGGCAATATCTTGCAATGTGTGGCGAGGCTCAAAGAAGTGCGACAGGTCGCTGTCGCTGTGATGGGACAGCGGTGCGTTTGCTCGTGGGGGGACAGGTTAATGGTACCGGCGCTCATGATCTCCAGCATGCATTGATCACCGCATCCTTACAGTACTGTGACAGTGCTGCGGCCACGTGAGTAAGGCATCACCGGGTCCCATCAGCACTCACTCATGCGGTCCCGGGTGTGATTTTGCCACGGCAGCCACATCAGCGCAACTCGCGTGAGTCACTGGCCTGCCACCGGGGGTGCGTGTACCGCACGCACCGGATGCATTGTATTGCTGCCGCTTACGTACGACAACTCCACTGCGGATCCAAGTACATCCTGCCTTCGCTAATGATGGCACTGCTCCGGACCGCGTTGAGCAAGCACCCACACCCACAGCCGCACCTTTAGGGTTGTCCTGCCGCTGTAATGCCGAATCCGAGGAGGAAATGGGCGGGCATCCCCGACCTCAAGGGTCACATCCATGCGGATGCGGGCGCCCCGCTCATACCAACCGAATCGGCCGACCAGTCCCCTGGGCGCCCCCATGCCGATCGGCCGGTGACGGCCCGAACACCCCCCTGGGCCGCCGAAAGGCGTCGCTGGAAAACTTTCCCCCGTCGGCCGCCGGCCGCGGCCCGGCCGGAGAGACGACTTTGGCGAAAGCGGCGGCGTCTGCCAGCGGTGTACCTTTCGACAGGCCGCAGGTACAGGATGCACCCCATGCCCCCAGGCCATTGAGTTGGCACCGGAGGGTCTCAAAGATTGGGGCGGGTGTTGAAAGTGACGGATGGGCCTCCGTAACGGGGACGGTGTTCCGCGGCGGGAGTCGCGAAAGTGGGTCCCGATTGCATGGATTGGGTTTTGTGGTGGGGTGGCCGCTTTCATGAAGTATTTCGCCCCCGCCCCGGTGTTGCGGACGCGCTTTGAACGTTAGGTCGGTGGACAGGCCGAGGGAGGATGGGCGGATCGTATGCGTCGACGTCCCGACGTCGATGCGGGATGGATCAGCGACTGTCTTCGTGGGCGCAATCTCCGGTTCGCCTGACGCGGGCGTCGCTCCGCTCCGGTTTGCAGGTCGGTGGGTGGCGAAGCGAACTGGAGGTCGAGTAGTGGGGAGTGCGCGCTCTGGAGCCTACCCTGCCGGTGCGCCTCGGCCGGAGGGAGGCGCATCCCTTGCGACTGATCACGAGGGGCTGCTCAGTGGCGCCGCCTCTGCGCCTAGGGGTCAGCTCGGAGTGGCCGCTTGCAGCTCGGCGGGCCGCTTGGCGTGCCATGGCGCCCGCCATTGGGCCGTGAGCCGGTGGCAAGCGCAGGTCACCGCATGACGCGCGGGTGTGGAGGGCCGGTCCGTTGATCGAGGCCGTTGAAAGGAGAGCCATTAGTTCGTTCGGGTCGGCAGCCACCATGTCCCGGCGCCCTGGGGCTGCCGAAAGGGTACACGCGGTGCTGGTGCTCCTGGTGCTCATCGACCAGGTGGCCGAATGCAAAGGTGAGGAACTACACTCCCTGCCGCGTATGCGGAGATGATGCATCAACTCCGAGACCTGCTTCCCATCCCCTCCGGCTGTGCCCACCCCACGGGCCCCCCGTGCCCTCCTTACACAGCGTGACCTTGCCAGACACTGCCCATAAGTGCGAGGGCATTGTTTAGCTCCTCATGGGTGAGCGTGTGCAAAATGGTACTTCGGTGAAGCCCCTGTCTTTCTCACGACGTTGTGATCCATGGGCACGCATTCTTGCAAAGGCAAGGGAGCCTTTTCAAAGCCGGGGCTGCCTGTAGCGTGGTGCACGCCTTGAGAGGGTGATGGCCTGATGCGCATCCCTGGAATCTCTGTCTCCGAAACGGGCTGGCGTGTGAACAGCGAGAGGGGTCCACGCTTGCATGGTGGAAGCCTGACTGCCTTTCATCCGTAGCTGCTTTCTGCATGCCCCAGAGCTGCCAGTGCTCATCAAGGTGTCAGACCATACACTGCGCACCCCAACCAGGATAACTGAAAATGTCTTCTGCAAGAGAATGCTCTCGGTGAAATACGCATTAGAGGGGGTTTTCAACAAACGTGCACGAACACTGAGAAGCCAAGCACCTGCAGCCAATGGTGCCTGGCCTGCCAGTGGAGTCACAGTGTGTGGTGCAGTGTGTGTGGTCAAATTTCCAGACAAAGTGAGATGTGGTGTGCGAATCTCAAGCAGGTAGCGATCACAGACAACTGCTTCAAGGCGAAGCCCGACCAAGAATAGCGGTGAGTCCTGGATCTACCCAACAGTTTTAACATTTCCAATCTCAGTGCTTTTGCTGATGTGTGTGCATCGCTGCCTTCACGGCATTCGCTCCTCTCCAATGCCTGTGGGTTTGCAGAAGTACCTTGCACATGGGGCAGTTGAATGAGATGTTGGATGCAACCATTGCTCACTGCGGAAATATAGAAACAATCAGCATTGCCGATAGGCACTTGCAACAGATTTTCCACATATGTAGGTGCAGCCACGATTTCAGGAACCAATCCCAGATCCCTTATCCCAATTCTCTGATCCCAGCTCCCGGATCCTGGATCATTGATCCGCTGAGGAGCCCGCGCCGATGCAAAAGTGCCATGAGCCTCACAGTTTGGGCTGAGCATTGCTATCGCTTACATAAATCAAGCAAAGTGCAAAGAAACTGCAGTGTTCATTGCATTTGATTGTTGTTGTAACCAAATACGAGCAAAATCTCAACAATATATGTCATAAAAGAAGCTTAATATTGTAATAATACTATAATGTTGTAATAATATTGTAATTATTGCCTGCCGCTGTACAAAATGGAAGCACTATTTTTTGAGCTAGCTCAAACTCTGCCAGCCAATCGACGTGGTTGGAGAGTGCGAATTGTTTCATCACATATCTTCCCTTGATTTCAAAATATTGTCATTTTATTCAGTGGACTTTCAGCTCTCTTCTTCTCACTTTCTGCTACATTTGTGACCAAAAGTTTGCACAAAACACAGAAGAAAATGCAGCAAAATATCCCTCCAATATTCTCACAAAATCCCACAAGTCGTTTCACTCATTCCTACCACACAACCCACGTGCTGGTAGAGCAATTAGTAATGGATGGTCTGCATGTGCCACATTCATTTGTGAGTGCAAGTTGTAACAACGAAGAGAGCCCCCCATGCAGGCGCTGGCCCTGCACAGGCAATTCTCTGCGTTCGAATTGCGTTAATTTCTTGGCGAAATCACTTTCAACAATTCAGCACATGCAAATGCAGATCAGAACATACTGAAATGCGACTTCAATGCAAGACACCATTCTAGAGAGATAGGCACATGCCCAAAGCGCCAGTCACAGCTTCCTCCTCTGTTGCCCAAAACGGTCTGGTTCAGTCCTGTCCCCCATTCGATCTGTGGCCTTCAATCATTCCTGCGTTGGCTGCCAGAATGGAGAGAACGCCCCGTGCGGCCGTTACCCCTACATGGTGTCCGTACGCAATCGGGCAAACGAGCACAAGTGCGGTGGCGTGCTGGTGCACCCGGAGTGGGTGATGACTGCTGCGCATTGCATCGACCCCAGCAACCGCCTATCCGTGGGGGCGTCCCCAGTGGTGGTCATCGGAGCCTGCCGACTCGATGACACGGAGGAAGAGGACGGTGTGGAGGTACTCAGACTGTTTGCAGTTGCTTACTACTGCGTTCTGTTGCGCACTGGTGTGGGTCGTTTGCTTTGGTGCTTCGTTAGCAACAGCGTATTCACCAAGGTGCTGTGTAACAATTCATCCTGCATCCGATATTATGTGTCCTCTATTCAGAGACAAATTTCATTACAAGAGCGGCCTCAAAATCACAGAAGAGGTTTAAAATTGGAAAGTGTGGGTCCCAGAAACCCTAACTGCCAATTTTGAAGAAGAGAAAGTGATACACGGCCTCTTTGAGCTTTGGGCGAAAGGCAACTTTTGGGCACCGTTGACTGGAAAATTCGGAGGTTGCTGGTTAATAGACCTTTGTTACAAAGTATTGCCCAATCCTCAATACTTAACGGATGACTTCGATTTCGACCAGTACTTCAAACTCATATGCACAGCCTTGGAAGAAGTTTCATTGAAAACAGAAGCTTCTTTGATGGATAAGCAGGGTGCCAAATCATGCAAAGACAATTGATTGCGGACAGGGGAAGTAATGATTTTGTCTCATGCACAAGCTACTGAATTGAACTTCACTATCCAGTAAAACTACATATGCAATAGTTTGTTGATTCAGAAATGTTTGGTGATGGGCCTGCCATAGAAATTCATAGCGGGTTCATGACACGAGCATGTTAAGAATGGACGCTGTCACTTGCGTCGTGGATTGTGCCCTCACGCTTGATGCAAAAAGCAATACACATGCCAGCCCAGACCCAAGTCTTGGACCTGGAGACTTCACAAGTGCACCAGCTGTTGTGAAGTGCCAAAGGACTGAAGCCTCCAGGCACAGGGGCGCTTGGCCAACTTTCAGAAAGGCGTTGAATATGCAAACATCATAAGCTTTGAATGAGAGCATTTCCTTGCATTGCTTAGATTCCATTTTAGCAGGGCTGATGTCAGTTTTTCAGTGCCAAAATAAGACATCATCCCTACTTCACAAACAAAGAGGTGAAGTATTGATGCAAACATGTAACTGAACTCTTTGGACCTTCTGATAGAGTCCCTGGCTCTCCTTGAATTTTTGAGGTTTAAAAGTGCCAACACAGCTTGAACTAAACTTGGTAATGGAATTGGTAATCCCTGTGGCAGTTACCTCAAAAGGATACCTTGATTGGTTGAAGACGCATGCTGGTTGCCCCCATTGCACAGCTGACAGTGCCGCTGAGGACAGTCATCCATGAGTCATGGACGGGCAACGTGGTCGACGGCTACGACATTGCACTCATGAAGCTGGCATCCCCATCCAAATTCACCGCTGCCGCGCTGCCACAGGAAATATCCAAAGATCTGTCTTCCGGTTCGCTGCTAGTGGCCCTGGGGTGGGGAGAGCAGGAGGATGGCAAAACACGCAGCGATGAGCCACTGCAGCAAGCGACGTCGGTGGAGGTGGGAGTATACACCTGATTGTTTTGGGCAATACTGAGCAGAAATTGGATATGGAATGGGCTTAATGTACATTTTACTGCCTGTGTTATGTGGTGAGCGGATGCGGAAGAAAATTGCACCTCATTGCAAGGCCTTACTTGGCAACACTACCAAAATGTGTGGAGTGGCTTGCGCACAGCAAACACACTGAACACTGCCTAGGTTGGGTCTCAATCTGTTGTTGCCCTGGGTGAATCCCCTGTGTGACTGACGCTAGATGTGCTCCTTGCACAGGCTGTGCGCAACAGCTTTTGCAATGCCGCCACCGCAGATGGCTGGGATGGCCTCATTCAGGGATCCATGCTCTGCGCTTACAGTTTCATAGGCGAGGAAGTCTGTGGAGGTGTGTGGATGAATGAGTGGATGTGGTCTGTGTGATTTGTGAGTGCAGTGCCGTGGCCTGTATGTCGCTGTATTTGGAGGGCGGCGCTTTGTTCCCCAAGAGGGAATGTCACTGATCATAGATACAGAATTCAAAAGTGTTGCTTGCCAGCAGAACGGAGCGCAGAAGCGAGGCTTGGATGGAATGACAAGATTGCGTTGTATCACGTCCACTCATCAAAGGGTTGCGCATTTCACACAGTTTTTTAAATTCATTAGAGTTGCATGTAGCTTTTTACATATCATTTAATGAACTTGAAACCAAGCTCAAATTAGACCTTATCTCGTTGTCCTAGACGCTTGTCAGGGCAATGATCACCTGTGGTTGTACATAGCTGTTGTAACAGTGATATACGATCACTGGCGAAAAAACTGACAAAACTGGGTTA